AGCGGTGGTGCTAACAAATGCACTGATATGCATTCAAGGCGAAAATCAAGTCAGCAAGTATTTCGGCTGCGCTCCACCAGCACTGGAGGCATACCTTTGTAAGTCTCGCCATCTCAGCTACCCAACACCATGAAGTTAGTCATTGTTTTGCTTGATATGCTGCAGTAAGCTCGCAGTAAGCTTCGCTTGCACTTCCCTTTCCTTGCGTCGTTCTTCTCGCTCCAGACGACGCTCCTCTCTCTCACTTTCACGGTCCAACCGGTCTTTCTCGCGCTCTTGTCGCTCAAACTCAAGACGTTGCTGTTGAGTTTCTTTTTGCATGTCCATAAAACTCTCGAGAAGTTGAGCTCTTTGCTCTTTTACTTCTTTGAATAAGTTTGCCCGGTCGATTTGACCCTTCCTCTGCTTTGACGTGCGGTTCTCTTTCTCCGCTTCATGGGAATTGTCCAAGCGTGATGATCGCTTGCCCAATTTGATGCACGTCGCGGCTGTTTGGCGAACCACTTTTCCAGATAACTCTTTGGATTGCCGCTTCTTAGCACATGATGTGCGTGTGCCACCTCGACGTCGATCACCTTAGGCAGGATCTCTGTCATAAGCTGTATGAAGGGCGTCTCTTTCTCGTCGGTGCTCGATCTGCTTGCTGACGTCTACTCCCAGCTACGGTTCACGTCAAGTAGACGTTTAAATCTCGACTGTGCTGTTGTCCCTTTGATGGGAACCATGTTGAAATTTGGACACGCGTTGAGCTTGTCAGCAACTTCATCCCACCGCCGTCTTATGTCGCCGTGTTTGGCCATATACGGCTCGTCAGCGTTAACTTGGACAACCAGAAGGTAGTCTTCGTCTGGTCCAAAGCACTAACGGATCTTCGGTGTCTGGTTACTGTGGCTGTCTGAGTTGGATTTTGGTGCCGCATCGCTAGAACTGATCTTGTCTTCATGTCCCTCGTTGCTCGAGGCCTTGTCCTTGTCCGACTCGTCGTAGTCGTGGGCAATCTCGCCATTGTGGCCACTTGACTGGCCTTTGTCGCCATGCCCGCCATGAGTATCACAAATTCTGTCAGGCGCGTCATCCGACTCGCTATCGTCAGAACTGCTACTAGGAAAAACATTGCTCTCTGCGTTACTCAAGCTCGCCGAGAGGTGCTCACGTAAGCTTACAATACCCGACGCTGTTGCCAAGGGCGACTGTAACGGGGTTACACGCAAGTGGCTACATGTAGCCACTTGATTACGACAATGGGTTTCACATTGGTGTGAGATACACCAATGGTTACATTTGACAGACCACTGG